CCTTTGAAACAGGTGAAATCTAGATCAGTGCAGGTTCCTACAGCCAGCAATTCAGTCTGTGCAAAATAAAACAAACATATCACTACTCGGGTAGACCTTAATGGATCTAGTGTGGTGTGTATGTGTGCTAAACATTCCTTCCTGTGAATCTATAAAACAGCTGTACAGTTACCTTTAGAACTCCACCTAAAGGAATTTCTCAACTTTTTGTTTCATTATGTCAATTCATATAAATGTTAGTGCTGAACCCGCTTAACTGGAGAAAACTTATGCTCAAAATGGCAAATAAATGAGATGCTGTATCATGAATCTATCAGCGTTTTCTTATTTAATGACTAAGTACTCTTAATGGACTCATAATGCATCATAATCTCTTGGAGAAAACTGCCAAAGTTCCTATTTATCATTTCTGTTTATTCAGACGTGTATCCCACATTGGTAATTGAATCCCAGCATGGTAGCCATTAGTGAGTCATCAGTGCCTCTTGGGTAAAATGGCGAACAAAAATGGTTGGCCTACCATGAGTCTAAATGATGTTATTATAGTAATTTCTGTTGCCTGCATTACAGATAGATGTGTGTTTTACGCTGTTGAAAACCAGAACAAGCCGACTGGATTATTCCACACATGAGCCGATGCAGATGAGCATCTTTTAAGTCTGTGCGTTTGCGTGGTCAAGCATGCATTTTGTGTGTGTGTACGTGAGTAAAAGCCATTGAGTGTAATAATGGAAGTCAATACGGCCTGTGTGATTCTGCGTCTCGTGGGAGCGTTTGTCTTTGATTAGAGCGCAGCAGAGAATGGCTGACTGCACAGGAACCTTAATTGTCTCCCTGAATCACTGCACTGTGACTTCTGACAGTAAAAGCTGACATGACCGACTGACTCCGCTCTCTGGAGTGCGTGTTGTCAATTATGGCCTGCTGTTTGATAGTGAGGTTTTCATGTGTTATTGGGACAGTTTTTTTTTATTTAAACATGAGCAGCACGGGCAAGTTGCTGGTTTACTTTCTTTGAATTGTCAATAGACCTTTTTCACAGCAGCCATTTTGACATGAAATAGTAGGGTAAACAAGACTCCATTCCATTTAATGTACTAGAACCTTTCAACTCTTGCTATACCTGGCTTTGTTTCTGCACTGCGCTTTTGCAGTTAACTGTGATAATGGTGGCAGATTCACCACTTGAAATTCGTCCAAAGTTTCTAAGGAATTGATCCTTGATTTCAGATTAAGAATGCTTCTCATTTATAGACAGTGACTGTATTTTTTTGGATAAAATGGCTACTGTCGCTGTCCGATTTTATGACCTGTAGCTAGCTAACTCAGCTAATGCTTTGTGAGTAGGCCAAAATTTTAATGTTGACTAAAGAAACAAAGTACAGACTAGCTATGTGTTAAGACAGTTACAGATAACACTGACATGCATTACTGAAGTTTAATATTCCCCAAATCAATAGTATACAGGACAGGCAGTAGGGAGATGTGCTAGTTGTGAACTTTTGCTGCTGCGTATCACTCTGCTAAGCCCCTCACACCAAACCCACAGCCGGGCAGAAGGGGTCGCCCTGCGAAACCTCATGTCTCACAGGGCTTTCTCTCCACCACGTGAGCCTCGCAAAGACCCCGGTCCCTCTTGCCCCGATGGCCGCTTGTCTTCTCAAAGATGCCCCTCCAACGCTCCACAGCCCGAATGCAGAGGGCCCCAGGCCTCAGAGGCAGCTGCAACGCTGTCTGACAGCGGGATGAGAGGATGGTCAGACATCCTTTTCAACTGCCTCAGCAACAAGGGCCAAGAAACAAGCGCCATATGTCTTGAACTGTCAAAGCGACCGCTAATAACAACAAGGAAACTGGACACGCTGAGCTTTGTGCCAGTGAAAGCCACACGGCTAGTACACCACACACAGCCGCCAATGTCCCAGTCCAAAGTTATTCCCCACTAATTGTGATCATGCCTCTTTGCCTTTCGCCGATAGGAGCACCATGGCATCGAACATACTCAGCTTGAAGCGCCGTGTTGAGCCGGATGTTTTCACACACATTGTGTAGGCTTCTATACAGCTTTGTAGGCAAAGGACTGGGAATCACAAGTTGCAGGATTTTCCACCACTGAATCAGGCTTTCACCAGCTGCACTCTTGCATGTGCATCTGCATTTGTAGAACAATGACCTGAAATGACCTGTGATTGGTCAAAGCCTCCCGTCATGGCCTAGGTTTTCTAAGGCCTGAGAACAAAGCCAAGAGGAGGTGCAGAAGTCTAGTTTTGACTCAGATCACTTGAATTACAACATTGAAAGGATATTTTTTGCCCAAAATCTAAATAACCCCTCCCCACCCCCATCCCCTTTAATTGCTAACTCTTGGCCTTAGAAGAAACGCTAAATTACTAGAGTTTGCAGTAAGCTAGTTAGCTGGACATACACACAGTTGCTGCTTATATTAGAGCACTCAAACACATTGTTTAATCCATTCTTTGTCATTTTGCTCGTGTTCACCCTCCCCATCCAAGTAGGCTATTTTCTAGTGCTGTCAAACGATTCAAATATTTAATCGCGATTAATCGCATTAATGTCAGTTAACTCGCAATTAATCGCATATTTTTATCTATTCTAAATGTCCCTTGATTTCTTTTTGTCTCATTATTTTTTCTCATTTTAATGCTCTTATCAACATGGAAAAGTAGATCGGCTTGCTTTGTGCAAATGTTGTTTTTATTGAAAACAACTTGGCATATACTGTAGTGTTCAATTTCACACTTACATTCTCACTTGGAGCAAATACTCTCTGACACAATGTAACACTGTCCATCAATAAAAGGGTGAAAAAAATACTTTGTCACACAAACAGCCCCTTCAACAGCCCCTTCTAAGGGATCAAAACAGGGCGATACAAAATAAAATTACAAAGTGCACATGTAAGGTAAACTAGGACTCAGCCTATAGTGCAGTTAAACCATGGCTTAATACTTTTCTCAAGTTTGCTTTGAACATAGCAGTCAGGCTACTGCTCTTATTTCAGAAACAGTAAGGGTTACCAATAAAAGGTAAGCCTACTACTTCTTTGCTTTGAGCCAGTTACTCAAACAGACAAGCCTGTTGACATTTTCAGACAACAAGGCATCCATCCATTTTGGCGTCTCACGCTCGCCATCCACTCAAAACGTAACATCTACTACTCTTAAACAAGTGTGTGGGCGTGCCTGTTGTTTTGTTTCCGGTCTAGCTATATCCGGTGTGGTGTTGTAGTTTTTCTAACGTTACTAGTTGTTGCAACAGCATGTGAAAAAAACTGCAACGTGTGCTAGGTCAAAAAGAACGTTAATCGCGCAATAAAAACATTGACGCTGTTAAAATGGGTTTGCGTTAATGCCGTTAATAACGCGTTTAACTGACAGCACTACTATTTTCCTTTCTGGACTACTGTACCTACTGTACTACTGGAAAGTGACCCATGCAATATAAACTGCTCATTCTAAGATAAAAGAGCACGATTCCTATATTCAGGTGATTATACGCTAATGAAAATATACATGTGGATGTTATATACCATTTCTGACAATAGATCTTCCTAAATGTTACCCACTGGACCAAAGAATTGTGCTTTCTACTGCCTTGTGCTGAGGATAAATCCAAAGCTAGGAAAGGCCTGCTGTGCCCAGTTATGGTTGCTAAGCTATGATTGGACAGTCAATGTTCGGGGGAGGTGTTTTTAAGCGAACAGTCAAGTCCCTAAATAATTAAAAGGTGGCAGTGATAAGGTCATCAGAGTTAAAGCAGGAGCTGCAGTCTTATCTGAAACCGTCAGCTCCTCTGACAGTTCACCATGTTCACACCGTCAGAAGTGCAGTTCAGGGACTCTTTGATGCTGGATGTTCCCTTTCTTTTTCATCCCTCTCTTTAAAGAAGAGACATCTACTAGTACATTGTGTGTCCGGAAGGTTTCCTCAAGGTTTCACTGCAGCAGTTGTGACAATTTAAAGCATGTCTATGAAAATGATTAATTACCTATGGATCAATACGTTTTGAGTTGAATGTTGTGAGCTATCAAGCTTAGTCTTTCCAAGTGAATCAGTATTTTTTAGTGGCTGATGCTGACAACTGACGGCTTTTTTGTCATAATGCTGTTGTGTCTAATAAGAAAAGGTGGATAACATTTTGAACTGGCCTTGAGTTATTCCTGCTGAATCTGAAACAATATGCAGTAAAACCACAAAACAGCACTTTTAACCCCCCACGGACCGGGTTTTATACTCAGGCTAAAAGGTTTTTAAGCTTTACATCAGGCCTGAAACAAACTTTGAGCCCCAAAGTCCTAACAGTGAATCGGAGGGAGAGAGGAGGAAGTGATGGAAGGGAGTGAGGGAAAGGAGAGGGGCAAGATGGCAGCAGAGAGAGTAGAAGGTACTATGCTACCTGTCCACCTTGAAAATCCCTTCAACCGTCAAATGGATGCAAGGAAGGATTCATGCTTAAATATCTGTTCAGAGGAGTACAGGGAACAGAGTGACGAACAAGGAGGCTGAGCTGGGATCAGCTCAGCTACAAGAACTAATGTTATGCTAGCAAGACCATAATAAATAAATCTGACAGTATTTTTTACACCATGACAAGCTAACTATCAGCCATGACATTTTCCCGAAATCAATATCTAGATTTTCACTAACAATAGGGCATGTGTACTGATGGCTGCAGCCTGAAGTAGCAAGCTGAACAGCGGGCAGGATGTGGGAGGATCAGGGAGTGCAGAGGGGCTGTGTAGGGGCTGTGGTGTTGAGAGGATGAGACACTGAAGGACTACACTCAGTATTGTGAGATGTATTTATGGGATATTACGGTGAACGGACAGTTTCACTGGAACCATTTAGTAGGTGCCATACATCAGGAATTAATGAATTAACACCCAGCAGCCAATCAGAATCGAGTATTCACCCGGACCATGGTGCAATATGGTTTTACTAATGATATACACAAACATCCTTTTCTTTTGTTTCCCCCAGGTTTATGAGCGAGGAACCAACGTGGAGCAGTTTGTGACCCGTTTCCTCCTGAAGGAATCAGCCAATCAGATCCAGTCTCTCCTGAGCTCTGTGGAGAGTGCCGTGGATGCCATTGATGAGCAGCACAGCCAATCAGGGTGAGCCAATGAGGTTACTAGTGTGTCAGGCTGTGTATGTGTGTGTGTGTGTGTGTGTGTTCATGACCGTCCGTATGTATCACAGCATTATGTGTAAAACTTCTCAGCGGTCATAAAGTAACCAGGCAATGTTTCATAGCATAAATCTCTTCTGGTGAAAATGTCTGTTGCTCATACATGGACACACACACACACACAGACACGCGCGCACACACACACACACACACACACACACACACACACACACACACACACACACTAACAAACAGAAACAAGGTTGTCATCTTGTTTATCACCTCTCTATCTCTCCCTTATTCCTCTTCTTCGTTCCCTGTCGACCCTTTCTTCAAGTATCAAAATTATTTCATTGTTCTTTCTCCAATCTCTTTCTCTTTCCACAATTCCACACTATCTTCATTTTTCATTATATATTTCTCTTCTTCCCCCTGCCCTTCTCTCTCCCTTCCCCTCTCTCTGTTTTTCAGTCATCTACCTGCCAAGGTGAGCCCACGGGTGCCAGAGAGGCGCAATGAAAACACCGTCCCTGACTATCCCCCCAACAACAGAGTCAGTGCCAGGGAGGCTGTCAGGACCATCAACACTGCTTCAGGTGACAAACACACACACACACACACACACACACACACACACACACACACACACTGCAGCACCTCCTCTGTATCCATAGTAGGAGGCCATCTGTCATGCACTTGTATGATTAGCCTCATATCCACAAGCTTTAGTGATGGGGCATCAGTCTGGGTGGGCATAAATCAAACTGTGTCTGCCACTCAGCAGTTTTTTATCCACTGTACACAAATACACACACTCACACACTCTCATCCCTGTGGGATTTATTCTCCATTGTAAAACACCTCAATCAGCCACCTGCACAGGTCTGATGCAGCTTCCCTACAGCGGGGAGGGTGGCACAGATAAAAGGCTGGAGGAACGAGGGAACGGGGGTTTAGAGGAGTGAAAGAGGGGAGGAAGAGGGCAGAGAGAGGAAAACGAAGATGAGGGAACAAGAAATGGAGAGACTGAGGAAGCAACGGGGAAAGTTACAAAACACAATTATTCTATATATAATACATATAGGATTAATTATATTTTCTTTTCCTGAATTGAGCAAAAACATCTTCCAATGCAGTGATGGGGGCTAATTTTGCTGAGCTAGAATTCTTAAAACTAACATAAAAAATCTAGCCACTGAAAGACTGTAATGGGACTTGAAACTAGAAAAGATTTCAAAAATGTAAGCAAGTTGTGCTCATTAGAAGCAATGAAAACTCAGTTATTGAAGATAGGCTTTCTTAAAATCTGTATTTTGGTCACTTCATTGAGTTGAATTTAAGAATGTGTAGCTTCTAAGATTATTAATTAGCAAAAACAAATCTTGCAATTAGACAATTTCTTCAAACATCAGAATAAAAAGAAGTGTCTTTATCTTAAATGGAGGCACAGAAGGATTTTTATTAAAACAATGAAAAACTAACCAGCTGCTTCATTTCCAACATTGGGATCAGACTACCTTCTCTTAAAGTGAAAGTGGTACGAGTGGTCTTACTGTTAAAATCAGGAAAATAGTCTGTTCCTCTGCTGGGTATTAGAAAAGCCCTTGTGGTAACTCGTTACTGATTCAATCAGGCTCAATATTAGCTGGAATAGCTTATTAAGAAAAAGTTAGACCAGATTACTTCTCTGACTCAAAACATGCTTATTTCTCTTTTAAGACCAAAAACAAGACTCATTTTTCAGAAACAAAACTTTTTTACTTTCTTGAGATTCCTTTTGTGTGGAGAGTAGATTGATATATCTGAAAGTGTTGAAATCAAACATGTGTATGAGCCCAGTCAGCACCTTACACTTAAAACCTGCTTTAGTGCTGTTTTTTTTTTTTTGTGTGTGTGTGTGTGTGTGTGTGTGTGTGTGTGTGTGTGTGTGTGTGTGTGTGTGTGTGCAGCGGCTAAAACAGACTCAAATTGACTGAGGCTGGTGATTCTCTTTGAGGATGTGCAGGACCCTTCATAATGCTCTCACTCTCTCTTTTTTGCTCTGTTACAGTCATCCTCTCTCTCTCTCTCTCTCTCTCTCTCCACCAGCTGGTAGTTAACGCTGCAGTGTACGCTCCCCTTGACAGTTTGCACCCACTCGAACAAATTGCTCGCTGAAGAAATGACACTTCAGAAGTCGTTGAGATATGGCATGACTTTATCGCAACACAAACTTTACAGAAGAGGAACAAAAAAATATAGTAGAGTCAAGGCTTAGGAAGAGGACCGCCTGGAAGGGCAGAGAAAAACATAATCAATATCTCCTTGGATGTTGTTTTTGACAAGTGTCAGTTGAAGGTGTCTTGAGCTGTTGTTTCAGGGCCAATGTGTCTTACATGGATAGCAGGGTTAGAAAAGTGGAACAACTTAAAGGTCCAGTCTGTAACATGTAGGAGGATCTATTGTCAGAAATGGAATATTATATTCATAGGTATGTTTATATTAGTGTATAATCACCTGAATATAAGAATTGTTCCATGACTCCTCCACGTCCGCCATGTTTCTACAGTAGCCCAGAACAGACAAACCAAACCCTGGCTGTAGATAGGGTCTTTCATATTTTGCACAGCTACCCATAGTTTTTTGTACACACTTGGAAGGCCGAGCTGTATTCAGATTGTTGCAATCTGCAACATCACCACTAGATGACACTAAATCCTATGTTACATAAGCCACTAAAATAGATGTCATTGTTAAATAATCTGTTCTGTAACGCTATTTTTGTTCATTATATTTCTCCTTTTAAGACCATAGAATAGAAATTGTCTCTACTTTACATTACTTTATTTTCTAGAATTTGAACAATTTTCACACTAACAGCCATTGGTTTCCAATAGAGCCCGACCGTTATATCGGTCAGCTGATATTATGGGCCGATAGTGGCCTATCACAGTCTATATTCACAGGCTCTAGTTTCCATTCATATCAGTGTGTGACCTTCAATTTGCAGAGACTTGAAACGTGTTTTAGGCAGGTAGTCCATCACAGTCACAGTTGAGTTAAACTACAAGATCACTACCATTAAAAAGCAATTGTTACATTACAGCATTACCTACTGAGAAAAGCAACCTGTGAGAGTACTTTTGCGTTACCAAAAAATTAAAACTCCTTTTGCATGTTGGTCATTTGTCCAGAGAGTATGTAGCCTACTGTGCATCCCTGTCCAGGGGTTTTAAACCTTGATCACCTTCCCAAATAAAAGAGAAAAAAAACCATGACAAAAAAATAAACTGGGCTATAAATATGACTCTGTCAGCTGCAATGACCAAAATGTATACCTAGCTTTCAACGTGGCAAGTTGTTAATGTTGTGATGACTTTCTGTTGAGTCTGAAGCCCGTCCCTTTTCTTTAGGAAATATTCTTCTGGCTTTCTAACACAACCCGGGTGCTTTGTGTTAAAGTGTCTCTGGAGCTTTGATGGTTTTAGCGCCTCATTTGACGAGAGTTATATTTCCTCGCCTCACGCTTTAGAGCTTTTACTGGCGCAGGGTTGTCTCCCACGTCACTTTTTCTTTTCAAAAACCGATCCATATTGTGTCAACCCTCGGATGCAGTGACAAACGTTTGTCTTTACCTATGTACTTATCTGTCTGTCTGTGTCATGATTGGCTTGGTAATATTCAAACATAACTGGTCATTAAAATGACACATTTTACGTTATTTGTGAATTCTTGAGCACATTTAGATACAAAAAGAACTAGCTTTGGAAATTACTCAATTAATAAAAAAATAAAAAATTAAATCGAACTATTTCTCGGTACCACTGCCTCCCATAGATGGCTGGGCGCTGCCGTAATGCAGCTGATGGCAGGAAGTGTTTAGAAGCTTGTTGGTGTGTTCCTGGATGGTTTGATGTGTAAGGTTTGAGGTATGGAACAGTGACCTTTTCAGTACAAGAAACCACATTCTCTTAATCTTTCACATAATGTCATGACTGCTTGTTCTTTGCCTTCGGGCAGGAACCATTCATTCAGCTGTATCAGTTTGCATCAGTTTGTAATCATGCCAGTTCAACTGCATTGGTCTCTTAAAAGCAATAATAAGATTGAATCGCTCTGGCTTCCTCACTGCTAATACTGCTAATACTGTTACTGGCAATACTTTTTAATTTCAAGTTCTGCCACTACCCTACCTACTACTATAATGAAAAATATTTGATATTATTCAGTGTTTTGATCTAGTTCCAGGGTTTGATGTAATGCAAATAACAAGTACATATCACAGTATTTAGTGAAACAAGTTTTTTTGGCTTCTCAAAAGGTGGTGTACTTTTAAAGGTCCAGTGTGTAACAGTTTTGGAGGATCTATTGGCAGAAATAGAATATCATTTTCATAGCTATTTTTTCATTAGTGTATAATCACCTGAAAATAGGTGATATTTTTATGTTTTTGTTACCTTAGAATTAGACGTGTTTATCTACATGGAAGGGTTCGTCTTCCATGAAGTCTGCCATGTTGAACCACTGTCTACAGTAGCCCAGAAGGGACTAACCAAACACTGGCTGTAGATAGGGACATTTCATTTTATGGCCACTGTAGTTTCTCCTTTGCACTTGGAAGGGGAAGCTGAAGCAACGGATTTACGCCTCTAGATTCCACTATATCCTTCATGCTGGACCTTTCAAAGCGTGTTCGATTAATAGCATATAGGTAAAAACATCTAAAACAGCTGGTATAGCTTCTGTCTCCTGTTAATTTGCTCTTTCTTTCTTTGTACTGGAATATCTCTCACTGTTTTGTGCTGCAAAGCAATTCAGCATACTTTCTTACATAATCTTACACATTCACAATGATGTCTCACATTTAATGTGGTAATGTTTTTTAATATGAAAATCTAATGCAATTTAGCAAATGATATCTTCATCTGAAATACCAACAGCACTTGAAAATATCTTAAATCCCTAATCAGAAAACATGCTGAAAAATGGCAGCTGGTGACTGTGTGCTATGGAGCAAACACACAATAGAGTTGTTGTCAAAGCCATTATTGATTTAGTGAGTGATCAGTAGAGCAGATATTGATCTTCTGTAACAAAGTGTTCGACGTGTGGCCGTCACACTGCACTAAATGTGTAAACCACAGTGTTTCCTACAACAGGCAGTGGTGGGTAGAAGGCTGAAAATCTATACTCGAGTAAAAGTACAGTTACTGTTTCAGAAACCTACTCAAGTAAAAGTAAAAAGGTACCTGGTTAATCAATTATATTAATAATTAATTCATTATAAGTTACTTTACATTTTAATATTCTTTAAGGTGTGATTACTACTGCAGAGCAATGCTAACATTATGTACGATTATTTGTGACATTAGCTTAACTGCTATGAGAAATAGCCAACGCAGTAACAGATTCTTGATCCATATCTGATCTGCACTGCCTAGTTTGACAATTTGATCTGAGTTTGGTGCGTTGAGCTGGACGGACTCACAAGGTAGCCCCGCCCTAAAGCATACCCTGCTTTATGGTCTATTTTACTCTAAATGGAACCATCATTTACTAAGTGAACATCGTGCTGTATGGAAAAAGACTGAAACTAGTGATTGAGACCATCAACTCA